CTAGAGAATCTTTAATAGTATCAATATTATGGGGAAATCTGTTTTTCCGCCTCTTATGTATGATTCAGACATTTTCAACTCACCTGAAGACAAAGCTGAATTGTTTGCTAAAAACTTTTCATCAATATCATCTCTTGACTCGACTAGTTGCGTTCTACCTGAGAGAGTCTTCAAACGGGATGATCCATTGCTTGATATTCGTATCACTCTAGCTTCTGTATCTAAAGTGATTTCCTGCTTAGACTCTTCAACAGCTTGTGGTCAGGACAACATATCTGTTATAGTCTTGCAGAAGTGTTCTCCGGAGCTATTGTCTATACTTTCAAAATTATTCAACAAGTGCTTATCAGAGCCTTATTTTCCAGCCTGCTGGAAAAAAAGACTCTGATAAGGCATCTGTCATCCCTATTTTCAAAAATTCTGTAGAGTGATCTGATTCGTCTAACTACCGTCCCATAAGTATTTTTTTTTTCAAGGTTTTTGAATCTTTAATTAGGAAAAACTTAATCTCTCATCTTGAATCTAATAACTTACTTTCTGATCATTAATATGGATTTCGATCTTCACATTCTACGGCTGAATTGCTAACAGTAACAACTGGTAGGTTTTATTGTACATTAGATAAAGGTGGAGAGGTTAAGGCCATTGCTCTTGACATTTCTAAAGCTTTTGATCAAGTTTGGCGTGCTGGTCTTCTCCATAAGCTTTCTTCTTGCGGTATATCTGGTAACATCTTTAAGATTATTGAATCCTTTCTTACCAATCGTAGTATAAAAGTTGTCCTCAATGAACAGCACTTTTGTTCATATCCTGTAACTTCAGGGGCTCCTTAAGGTTAAATTCTTGGCCCTATACTTTGTTTAATTAACATTAACGATCTTCCAAATATTCTCACATCTAAGGTGACATTTTTAACTGATTATACTACCATTTATTCTTATAATGATAAGAAGCTAACACTCTCTGATTGCTTGGAGGGGGCATTTGAGCTTGAAAAGAATCTCACTTCTGCAACAGCATGGGCCTAAAAGTAGGTGGTGAACTGATAAAACTCAATTTTTTTCCTCGGACATTAGTTCTTTGGAATTTACATCCTTTATCTTGCTTTCCTGATTCATGTAATTTGCAATATTTTAAGTTGTCTGACAATCATTATCTTACTATATAAACCTCATCTTTTCTCTTCCAATAACTTCCAACTCTAAAAGAGGTTGCTTGCAGCCGTAATGGAAGCGAATATGTTATTTTAGTTTTTTTTCTTTAATTTAATTATTGTAACATCAGTTGGAAAATCTTTCAGCTACTTATTTTTCTTAACACATAAAAATATAAACCAGAACAAGTATTTAAATCTTCCAGTTGTTTATATTGAAAACGGCTAGGTAAATTTATTGATTTCAGTTGTCATTGAAAACAGAGCCGACCTTGGTAACTGAATGCATTTAGCAAAATAAACTTGGTGGCCCAAAATAAAAATAAAAAACAAACTACTCACCGAGCGCAAAGGTCCGAGGACCTACAATAAATAACTGACCTTACATCCCCCCTTCCTTTCCCGGAGGCAAAAAATTCTACATATTGAACTAAAAAAATATTAAATTATTTTGATTCTTAATAGATTTCATGTACCTTGTATGTCTGAGATTTCGCGCAAATTGAGTTTTTCACACCGGCAAATTTCATGCAGGCTTCATAAAAGTTCATTGATGGCAGCTGAGTCTTAAATCAATTAAGAATAGTGCAAAGGCTGGGCGATATCTCGTTTAATAATTAATTTTTTTAAATTTTATCACAGAGCACCATTTTTGGTCTTATCACAGAGCACCGCGGATATGCATTTAATTGAAAGTTCACGCCTCCTTCCTAACCGATATTGCAAAACTTCCCCAGAGGTGCGGTTTGAATCACGGATCCTTTATTTCTGAGGCAAATACGCTACCACTGCGCCATGGCTGCTCAAAGTATTAGTGTCAGACTGTTTAGACGTTCTTGCATCATAGTCGTTCTCAAATAGATTTTAATTTTAACTTATATAAAGAAAAACGTCTTTTATACGATGATTGGACTCATCAAAGCGATAAGAAAGCCGATAGCGACATTTGGAATAGCAGTATTCAAATCGTGATCATAAATAAAACCTAAAGCATCAAGAATCAGACGAAACATTATCTGGAACAATATTGGAAAGTATTTGAAATTCATTTCATATATTCTTTGAATCAATATTTGAGCCAAATGTAACTGTGAGCGCAATATTTCAATCCTCGCAACATTTCATTAAATCATTTTGGTCTAACTCTAAAATTTTTTTGATACTGGGTTGAAATCTAAAGAGACCGAAATTGAACTTTCATTTGCTGGAAGCGGGTGGTTAACGACATAACCATTTGATTTAACAAAACATTAAAAAACTTGATATTTTTTGTTTGGATTTGTCAATCATTCATCTGTGCTTTTATAATCACACACACACACCCACACACCCACACACACACACACACACACACACACACACACACACACACACACACACACACACACAGATATATATATATATATATATATATATATATATATATATATATATATATATATATATATATATATATATATATATATATATATATATATATATATATATATATATATATATATATATATATATATATATATATATATATATATATATATATATATATATATATATATATATATATAAATACGCTTTATTTTTTCTTAAGCTTATGGCTGCTGGAAATTTGAATTCATCTGGTTAAATTTTTAATTCTTGAGCCGATTCTCAGACTGAAATTTGAGCAGATGCAAATTTATTTTATTTGTTTATTTCATAAACTCGGTTGCAGTTTTTATACATTTCAGTGCAATGTCAAAAAGCATATTTTTTAATTGCATCGATGTGGTGATGATAATAATTTTAAACAATAAATCGTACCAACCCAGCGGGAATTTGCTTTTACAAGTTACGTTCTAAACCTCTTTTAAATGTCTTTTAAACATTTTAAACATAGAACGTTTAAAAGACGTTTAAAAAACGTTTAAAAGACATTTACAACGTAACTTTAAAAAACAAATGCCCGTAGGGAGATGGCTAAAGTAGGCTAAATTTTGAATTGATTTTTACTAGTCCAGTTGCTTTAGTTTTTGCTTTTGGATTGTTGATATTTTCAGTCACTTCCAACAAAATATTGTACACGGCTGCAATTTAATAATGAACAGCTTTCATACAATCCATTCAGCATACTTAGCGGCTATGGAAATATTCTTTACTGACATATTTTGTACACAAGTTTTAAAGATCTGCTATCTTGATTTGCAGGATCTGCTGTTGCTGTGTTAAAGTACCAAGCAAAAGATAAATTTGCTTGGTGCTTCAACAAAACAAATTTTTTTTTTGCATCAATGCAAAATTCAAAAGTGTCATTGCAACGACTTTCACGTATCCAAGAACTATATTGAGACTGAGACTTCGACATGGCACATGAATTGATTTCGGATTGAGCTTAAGTATACGTTTTTGTACACCACGACTGAAGCCTTTCATATTTTCTCCGTTATATCTTTGGCCTCAGCAGTTCTGCAAATTTTAAATTTAGTTACTCAAGCTTTTGTTGGCATGCTTCCACGAGATCTGAAACAATGTCATTGACAGACAAGAATCTCACAAATATTCAAAATTGATTTACATGATTCATGCTTTACTAAAAGTTTGACCAATTCGAAACATTATTATTATTTGGTTGTACAGTTGTAACAGTTACATTATTTGGTTGTACAATTGTAACAGTTATTCCACGGTGCCACGAAATGCTAAAGTTCGTTTTTCTAGAAACTGCCAAATTGAAATGATTCTAAAACATGGTTTCAGTGCTGAATCTCTTTTTGGACTAGCTTTTGTTCTTGCCAATTGTCTTGAGTTCCTTCAACCGATTTCCAAGCTGAAAAAATTTATCTACACCAAGAATGTGCTTCATGACCAGCAAAAACACTAGACGTGTTTTTCCAAACGCTACTTTCTTCTATTGTTAGCTAGATTTTTAGATCTGAGAACAAAATACAGCATTTTTATGGTTCAAATAAACTTGACAACGACAATTGGAACATTCACCATTTGGTAACTTCCTCAAAAAAATATCCCACAGGTAAGGCTAGATGGAGATAAACCTGTATCTTTTCAAAGTTGATTTTTGGCTCTCATTTGCATTGTTTAAACCTGTATGTCTACGATTTCTTTCTGTAAATTAACCTAATGTTTGACCACTTTTTCTAAAGCCATCTGACTTCTTCGACCACATGTTCGAAATATGGAAAACAGCTGTGTATACTCTTTATTCTAAGCATAAAGTTGATGTTGCCGAATCGCGAGTAACAAAATTTTATAAAATATCTCACCACTTTTCTTTTGCATTTTGATGCACCAGACTCAAAAGAACGTTTTAACATTTTTACCAAAAAAACTACATGGGTTTATTCAAAATTTATTAATTCAATTTCTTATTTTACCTATTCGATATGTTTATAGTAAAAAGAATAACTTTCTTCAATTTCGTAAATAACCTTTCAACTTCTTTAATAAAAAGTAGATACCAACATTTAAAATTTTTTTAACTATAAAACTTCTTTGAGAACCACAATGAAAAAAATTTACTTTTTGTAAACTAACTTCCGCTTGATTACAACTTATATATCAATGTTCAAGAATTCATACAACGACAAAACCCCTCCAGAAATTGTAATGAAAAATATCAAATCCCACCAAAATTATTTTAAACCATTAAAAAAATTTAATTTTTTAAAAATTAAGCATCGAGATCCTTTTGACCGTAAAATTCGGAAAAAAAAAAATTCGTTTTAACCATTTCTCTGAGCATTGAAAACTATATATTTATCATAACTATCAGCATTAAAGAATATATTTTTCCACTTAATTTTCAGCTGATGTAAAAGCAAAAGGCCTAAACTGATAATAGAGAAGAAATGTGCAATTTAAAAACATTTAATCAATTAAGATAATTACAAATAACAAAATTTCAGCGTATAAAATTTTAAACAAATAACTAAAAGGATTTAAAGAAATCCGATAAAATAAATAGCGTTTGCTTCACATGAAGGCATATATTTCGCAGCGCAGTAATTGCTTCTAAATAAATACTCCAAAAACATTAAGAAACTCATTAAGAAAAATTACGACTAATTACCGAACAGAAAACAACACACCACAACATCCAATATGGATTTTAGAACCATGAGATTTAAAAATAAAAATCTGTAAACATTTTGTATATTACATCAATATTTCTAACAAATCAAAATGCTCGGGCGGGTTATTTAATATATTATCTAAGTCAGAAACCTCATCGGAATTATTGACATGTGTTAGAGGTGCCTCCATCATATTACTAGATAAGGATTTTACAGGAGAAACAACGGTCTGCGGAACATGTCTGTTATCAGTATCAGATACATTTGAATTGTCTCCGTTCATAAGATTAGTTGGTAGTTCATTTTGTGACATGTTATGAGAATTCTGTTGTGCAAAGTTCCGGGAATTATTATTAAAAGTACGAACATAGTTTAAATCAGAGTCTACAGAGTTTGTTTTTGTAGCTTGTAAAAATTCATTGTTTAAGGTATTTTGAAAATTTTGCGATAACGTGGAAGGATGTTGTTGCGCATTAAAGTTAATTTGTTGTTGATGAAGTTGTTGTTGGCGACTATGCATAAACATCATCTGACGTTGCTCGTTACTCCAATTTTGATTGTAGCTTTGATTATTATTATTTAAGTTAACTAAAGAAGAGTCTACCTGATTGCTAGCGTAATTATTAAAATGTTGAGGACTTCCAGGCAAATTTGCACTGTTTGCAGGAATGCTTACAGAACGTTGAAGAGGCGGAGGAGCAGAATATCGGTTAAGGTTTGTAATCGGATTTCTTACGTGCATTTGTAGATTTTGATTTATTACTGGAGTAGTGTTCCCAATGACCATAGGATTAGTTGAGCTCATACCAATTCCGGTATTATCTGGTTGAGAAAAATGAGAAAGTTTAGAACCAGTTTGAATGGGTTGATTCATAAGCATAAGTCCCGTATCAATATCTTGACCAGGATATTGAGGAGGAGACTTTGTAATATTATTAAACATCTGTACGTGATTACCTTGTCGAGTATTGCCGCTAAACTGATTGTTATACATTTGGTTCATTTGCTGATCAAGCATAAAGTTGTGGAGCATTGCACCAGCACGATTTTGCTGTGAATACCCCAAGGGAGTATTGTTTTGAAACATTTGATTTGATCCTGTGTCTATTTGATAACCTGGTGGATAAAAACCGATTGAAGAATTTTGTTGGACAGGCATTCCAAATTGATCATACATTTTGTGATTATAAGACTCAAATTCATTGGGAAATTGAAAATTTTGCTGCTGCTGTAAGTTATTTTGCATTTGATTTGATAAATATTGTTGGTTTATGTAATGATTTCGAGAAATTTGTTGCTGATACTGCTGTCGTAAAACAAACTCTTGTCGCTTCTTTATGTGTTCTTGGAGTTTTTCGCGAGCGGGACCAGTCGTATTTTGAACATAAGGATTATTCATATCAATCATGTTACCCATAATAGCTTGTTGATGTCTATTCATTCTATCAATATTTTGCGGACGTATGGTAGATTGTTGCAAGGTTGGTGGTAAATCAAGTTGGGTAGATGAAGAATTATTTAAAACCATATTTGATTGTTGCATTAAACTTGTATTAGGAGATTGGACATTTAAAGGACTTTGAGAAGTACTGTTTAGGGGAGTTTGTATGTTGTTAAATTTGTTTTGGTTTTGTTGATTCATTAAAACAGCATTTATTGTGTTAAGATTAACATTCCTAATTGAAGAAAGGTTATGTTGATTTGAAATATCGATATTTTGCATTTGAGGACTTGGTTTAGAATGGGAACTATTACCATTATTTGTAATATCAGGATTAGATAAAATTCTTCTATTGGCTTGCAGAATATTTGAGGAGTTAGCTTGAGAATTCAAAGTATTTGCTTGTACAATGTTAGATGAATCAACTTTCATTGTATTAGGGGTAGAATGATTGGCATCAACTTGGATTTCAGTTTTTATATTTTTAGAATTGTTACCAGTTAATTCGCCATACAATGCAAACCCACCAATGGTATTAAGGTCATCCATATCATTTTTATATCCGACACTTGAGAGAGTTTTAATGCTTTCTTTTGTTTGACCAGATGAACTAACAGTGCTATAGGAAACAGTTGTTGCACATTCCGTTTTAACATGGTTAAAGTTTGGTACTTTTTCAATTTTTTTAAAACTATCTGTTAAAATATCATTTGAAGTAATATTATTCATCATATTATTGAGATTCATTGCAGGAGTAGTTTTCATATTACTGTTTGATTTGTTTGTTTTAGAATTTGCTAGGTTTACTTGTTGAAAAGGGTTCATATTTGGTTGAATATTAGAATTCATATCATAAGTCATATTTGACATATTTTGAAACGTTTGGTTATTATCATTTCGACGCGATACTTTCATTAACGTTTCATCAATAGAACCATTATAGAGTTCATAGGGTCTTTTTTGTGAACCGCTCTAAAAAAGATTTTTTATATAAAATTATTTTTCATAATCCTTATTAGAAAAAATACAATTATTTTTGAAATAAAGTAAACTAAACAAAATATCATAAAAAACTTTAATGAAAATGAATTTAAGATAATTAGATAATAATAATAAAAATAAAGATAATAAAATTAATAATAATGGTGGAATTTGATATCAATTTATCATACTTATTTTTTTGAAAACAAGCTTTAACAAAAAGTTTTCCTACATGAATATTTTAAATTTTATCATAAAAAATCTTTCTGCATTTTGAAGTTTTGCTTTTGTAAAAACTATTATCCTTCAAAAGGAAGATTAAAATCTAAAGATTATTTGTTTTTAGGTTCCACCCACCATAATTTTTCAACAAGCTCTTTACTCCACTCTAGCATGCAATTAAAACAGATTTAAGCTTATCTTACACCTGAAGTATATGAACCTATTTTAACCACCAAACAAGATCTACGCATCTGCTTGCATTTGCCTCAAAATTGATATAGAAAACATTTTTCTTGATTAAACAAAACCTTTTATGAGTTTAATTTATGATTTTTATTGTCATACTTTAATTATAGTATAATGGACCGATAATTTAGCTCTCTTTACTTTAAATAAACAAGTTTATGAAATTAAGTTTAAATAAGAAATTTTGTAAAAATGATAAAACTCTAATAAAAAGTGGACTAAAGTTTTCAAAAGATGACTTTAAAAATGCTCTTATAACCTAGTGGTCTGGGATAATGACCACTTTTAAAACTTGCTTTAAACCTAGAGAAAGTATTCTCGATGCTCAAAAATATGAGGATCAAGTCAAATAGTTATACCCAAAAATATTTGGTTCAGTAAAAACGTTTTTAAAAATAAAATATAGCAAAAACATTTGCTAAAAGTACAATCTTTTTTGTACTAAAAAGTAGAAAATAAACTTTTTAATTTAAATTTAATAGTTCCTTAAACTAAAGATTGACAGGTATTTTCTAAATAAATCTTGCGCAGACCTGCCAATCTTTAGTTTACGGAACTATTAAATTTAAATTAAAAAGTTTATTTTCTACTTTTTAGTACAAAAAAGATTAAACTTTTAGGAAATGTTTTTGCTATATTTTATTTTCTACTTTTTAGTCTTAACAAAGAGTTATGATATATTAGTATGAAACAAAATTTTTTTGTCAATAAAAGTATTTTTAAAAGATTTAAAAAAAAAATACAAACCCATAAGCAATTTTAGCAAATTTTAAAAATGAAAAGTATTTATACTTTTCTTCCGCAGCAGACGGCGACTGCCTCCCAATTAATTTTTAGCAATTAATCTATTAGTAAAATAACTTTGTGACGCTGTTTTATTGCTGTTTATAACATTAATAACATAAATTACATTTGCATATATTGTAGTTTATAATATTAATAACATTAATATTATAAACTAGTTTAAAGTAAATAAATAGAGTTGTTTTAATTAACAAATTAAAACATTATCGTCAACTTCATATTTACTTCATACAAGACCATACAAGTCTATAATAGACCAAAGATCAAAGCAAAAAATTAGATACCACGTTTTTTATAATTTATTGCTTCTTAATGTAGTGTACTATTGAAAATTTAAGTATAATTAAGTTTTTAAATTTTTTCATTCAAATTGTATTGCAATAAAAAGTGAAACAAAAAAATTTGGTTTAAAAAATCGAATTATATTCTTAAGTTTAAGAATATGCTTAAATTATTTTTTCAGAAAAAAATTTCTTTGAAGAGAAGTAATATAATTTATTAGTTTTAATTTAAATTTTTAATAAATTTTAATTTTAATTTTTGTAATCACTGGTTTAATGTTTGCAATAGTTTTAAAACTGTTTTCAAGAAACAAAGTATAATTAACTATTCAATATGTTAAAAATATTAATGATAAAGAAAGATGTTTAATTGGATTAATAAATAAAGAAAATTGTCACAAAAAAACATCCAATGATATCTAAAATGATATGAAAATCAAAATATCAAAAATGAAGTGAATTCCAATGATATCAAGAGAATTTTGTCTCAATTGAAAGTGATGAAAATGCAATGGTTTGCTTCCATGAATATGTTTACTTAAAACATTACTCCACAATCTACATATTTGGTGTCATCCATTTAATTCACACAATACAGGGCTCTCTCTTCTCATTCCTGGCGCCGCTTTGCTGCAATGGGGGTGGGGGGTGGGGGAATAAATTAATAAAAAATTGTATCTTTGGCACATTAGTTTGTCATTGTTATTTTTTTTAACATATTATATATAAATATGAGAATATTTAAATATTATCTTATAATTATCTTGTTTGGCGGAGTTTAAAATAACGTAAGTTACTGTAATAATTTACAGCTTAATAAAGTTTAAATTGCATTTGTAATGAGCAATGCTTTTACATTTTATTAAAACACAAATTTGACTTTTTCCTGATTTTATTAACATTTTCCTTTATTTTATTAACATTCGACTGTATGCCTGTGTAAAAAAACAAAAAAAATTCAGGAAGAGTCTCGAACCTTAGACATTCTGTTTACGAAGTCAACACCTTATCCAAATAAGCTAAACGCACGTACAAGTAGTAAAACAATTATTATACCTATTTTAAAAAATATTATCTCTTTCCATATAAAAAATAAACTTAATTAAAACTATTTAAATTAATTGACTTAATTTTTGTTATCACTGGTTTAATGTTTGCAATAGTTTTAAAACTGTTTTCAAGAAACAAAGTATAATTAACTATTCAATATGTTTACGATTTAAATAAAACTTTCTTGCACTATGTTCTACTCACTTGCACTATGTTCTAAATCTGATATTGTTACTGTAGCTTGATATACTAAATGTATATCTAGCTACAGTAACAATATCAGATTTAGAAACTTTTAGCAACAATTCTTGCTATTTTGGGTATTATGAATGCCGCTGAAATAAAATTATAATTATTGAGCGTAAATTTTTTTTTTTTCAAATTGCAAAACTATTTGAACAAGAGAATTTTAGAAGACTAAATTCTTTTGTTGAAATAGATTACATTTTAAATAAAATTCCTAAAAACAACTTACATATTTATACAAAATGTTTGATCTTGATACCGCTTTAAATAAAATATAAAAAAATGGTATCTTGTTTTTTATGCTCTATTTGAGATTTCTTGTTAAAATAATTTTTAGTTAGTAGCTTATATTATGCATTAACAACATATAAGATATAAATAGAAACATTTATATAGTTAATTTTTGTGAGTCTTTGAGTATATTAAATAAATTTAATAGTTAAGTAACTTAAGTTACTATAGTAATTAACTGGTTGTTATGATTTAGTTTAAAGGTAAATTTACTGTAATGTACTTTACCCACTCAGTAAATCAAACTAAATATAACTTTATAATATTGGCTCCCACAAGAGAGCAATGTATAACTAAATTGATGTCATTTAAGGATGATGGACCAGAAGAACTGACTTGCAGCCAGATTTATGAAGATGAAAATAATGAACTCCTTAAATCTCAATTCTTTTTTGATGGCTATGAACAAAAGTCCTCTTAAAAAGCATGCTGTGAATAGTCACTCAAGAGTTGCTCTCAGTAAAAAGAAATCATTACATGTTCAAAAAACAGTAAAGTTGAGTATTACAAGGACTTTAAATAAAGATCCTGGCCAGTTCCTTTCCTTCAATAAATTATTTTGATGTAAAGCAAATGATATGGATATACTTATACTTTTTTTTTAATTAGAATTAGAAAATTCCATTACTATTGGTTTCAATACCTTGGTCTAACAAATGAAAAAGAATTTAATGTTACTAATTATATGGTGCAGATATCAACTGCTGCTGAAAAATGGTTATCTTTCCCTGAAAAAAAGAAAAAGAAAAGGAAATATCTCATTTGTATGTATGTATGCAGATATCAAACAAACTGCTGCTGAAAAATGGTTATCTTTCCCTGAAAAAAAAAAAGAAGAAAATATCTCATTTGTATGTATGTGTATTTACTGTATGATAAGTTTAAAACTTGTTGTTCTGATATAAAGACTTGTTTTTTTCACTTTTACTCAAATCGTCCAAAATGGTGCATTTCAGTGCGAGCATCTGGTACGCATACAGTATGTATGTGATCTCACACACATACTATGTGCGTACAACCCATTAAAATGTCAAGTTAATGATTAGTGCAGTTGAATTATCAAAGGTTTATCATAAACTTATTGATATGCTTGTTTGTAGTAGAGCTAACAAGAGTTGCATGATACATTTCTGCCCTTTGTGTACAGAAGATTCTATATTAAGACATTATCTTGAAAATGAGTTCTACTATCAAGAAGATATTGATGAAAATGATGGTTATTGTATAGATTACAAACAATGGAAGACAACAGATCTAAGCTAGTAAGTCGAACAGAAATCATTATATTATTTTTAATTTCTATAAAAAATCATCTGATTTTTTATAGAAATTAAAAATAATATGGGATTTAGAATTATAGAACATTAAGAAAAAATTTCATAATCATATCTTTCAGGCATCTCAAGATTAACATTTTTTTGGCATTAAAAAACTTACAAAAAGTATTACATTATTTTGAAATTAAATTTTAATATAGAAGCTTTAGTTTTTTGAGTGTTTTAGCAATCATATTTGAGTTTCTCTTCCTAAAATAATGCTGTAAATAAAAAATCCTTCATTAAACATGAAGGTTATATAATGTGAAGATCTTTAATGTGAAATGCAAACAAGTTTATATATTAGAACTGTACCTGAGATTGCAAAATCAAAAAAACAAAAAATGTATACAATTTTTTTTTTACTAATTTTTCTTAACAATTTTTATAAATCTTTTAAATAATTTTTGGATTGAATGACTCAATTACAAAACATAAGTTGTAATGAAGACATTACATGTAACTGGAAACTTATAAGATGCTATTGTGAAATAAACAACGACATAATTTCAACTGAAAAACCTGCTGGAATGAG